TCTGCCAACTGCATAGGATTATAGCTAAAAACTCACTTTGCAAATTGCAAAGTCCTATAGAATCATCATCATCATCATTATCATCATCACTATTATTGTTAATATTCTAATCAGGCCTCCAGCTTTCGGTGAATGATTAAGATCACCTAACTAAAAGAATTAAATTACCTAAGAATGAATTAAATTTATTGAAATCACCAAAGACAATAAGAGTGATGCTGATGATACTCTACATCTACAGGATACTTTCAGCTTCAAAGAAAATCCCCATATATTGTCTCATTTGATCTAACTGTCCATAGAATGATCATATATTATTTTTTGATATTTCTATGAAAGGAGGTTCTATATTTCACTTATTAGAATGCTCAAATACCTTAGAAGCTGATCAGTCAGTCATCATCATCACAGTTAGCATCTATATGGCACTTTAATGTTTGCAAAGGACTTTGCAAATATCTCATTTGATCCTCACAACAATCCTGGGAGGTAGGTAATATTATTATCCCCATTTCATAGATGAGGAAACTGAGGCAGACAGAATTTGAGTTACAAAGCTAATAAGAGTCTGAGGCTGTATTTGAACTCAGAATTTCTTGACTCCAGGTCCAGCATTCCATCTACTGTGCCTCCTAGCTACCTAACTTGAATTAATCAACAAGAAAAGCTCCTATTATGTGTCAAGTACTGAACTAGGTACTGGGAATAAAAAGAAAAATGGAAAGGAATTCTTAACAGCTGAGAGGGTTTAAAGAAGAGGGAAATGATGAAGTGGAAGGACAATCAGGAAAAGCCTTTTTGCAGAAGGTAGTGCCAGAGCCTAAACTAGGGATTCCAAGTGGCAAAGGTGGAAAGATTCTAGGTGTGGAGTGATAACATTCCAAAGGCTTACAGACAAGAGATGGAGCACCATGTGTGAGAAACAGAAAGTGGTTCAGAATGACCGGAACATAGACATGGAGTTGAGAAGTGAGGAAGAAGATGGGAAATGCAGGAAGGGTTGCAAAGGGCTTAAAGTGTCAAACAGAGGAGTTTATAATGATCCTATGTTAGCAGTTCTCAAAGCGTGCTTCAGGAACGTTAAGACTATTTCAGAAGATCCACAAGATAAAAACTATTTTCATTATAAAACTAAGATATTACTTGTCTATTAAAACACTCCTCCCTTTTCCAATGCTATATTTGTGTGATGCCAGATTTTTTGGCATACTTTTTAAAGCAAAACAACGTATCACAAGAGACAGGATGCAGAAGCAGATATGAGGATCGAGCAGCATTCTATTAAGCCAGACATTAAACAGATTTGCAAAAAGCAATAAAAAAGCTATTCCTCATTAATTTTTTGTTTTGGAAAATGTAGGCTTTTTCATTAAAATATTTGATTTATTACCATGTAATGGGTTTATCATATCTATTTAAATGAATTAATAAATATTTTAAATGTTTATCAGTTTTAATTTTAATATCATAAATGTCAATAAATATAATCCACATAAGCAAAAACTTTTGGACATCTTCAATCATTTGTAAGAGTACAAAGGTATCCAGAGACAAAAAAGTTTGAGAACCACTGCTTTAAGTAAGAAGGAGTCATTGATTTTTGTTGAATAGCAGAATGATAGCTTTGCTCTTTAAAAATCTGTTGGGCAATTTTGTGGAGTATGGATTAGGATAAAGAGAGATCTGAGTATGAGAAACTACTTAAAATGGCACAAGCAAAAGATGAGGGTCTAAACTAGATTGGTAGCTATGAAAGTGGAAGGGAGTGATAGAAAAAAAAAAGATATGAACATAGAAATGAGTTTTGTCAGCTGATTGGATATGTGGAGTTAAGTGAGAATGAAGAGTTGAGGGCAACAATGGAGTTTCAATCTAGGATGATGCCTTCAATACTAATGTAGAAATTTGTAAGAAGAATGGATTTGTGGCAAAGATAATGAGTACTGTTTTGGACATCATGAGTCTTGGCTATAGAACAGCCAGTTTAAAATGTCTAGTAGACTATTTGTGATGCAGGACCAGAAGTCAGGAAAAGAACCAGATCTGAATACATAGCCTGGGGAGTCTTTACTATCAAGATGGTCATTGAATCTATTCCTTGTCAAGGAAAAGGTTCAATTCTTCATCAGAGTCTAGAGTAAAGGTGGATATAGTGGAGGATGATATCATCAGGGAGATGATATTAGGAGAGGGGGAGAGGAGAAAGATCAAGAAGAATAGCCTTGATTTTCCCAGCAAAGTGTGAAGTGAGGTTCTCAGCTGAGAAGGGATGCTGTGAAAGACTTGAGAAGAAATAGTTTGATATAACCATGGGATAGCTAATCCATTTTGTAGGAATAGAAGGTTTGCCTTGCTGGAATGAGAGTCCTGTTGAAATTAGATAACATATATTTGTAATAGACCCAAAGAGAGTGGTTGCATACTTCTTCCTGCTGAATTCAATAGTACATGAGTAGGAACAGAGGCAAATAATATGAGTAATCCAGAGTTGAGGCTTGGTAAGGTGTAAACTTAGATGGGATAAGGGAGCAAGGAATTTGAGAGTCAAGAAAGATTATAATGAGATAAAGGAATTTTGGAGCTCATGAACACAAAAGCAAAAACACCTGCGGGTGATAGAAAAGGCAAGGACATAATCATCTCTGTGAATAGCTTAGGTATAGCATAGAGGTACATGAAAATTGAGTATATTAAGAAACTGAAAAGTTAGAGTGGTTGAGGGAAGAACAACATGTATGTTGTAGTTGCTTAGCATGAGGGTAGGAGCTGAGTGGAGAGAGACTGTAAGACAGACACTAAATTAATTGAGAAAGGTATAATAATTTCCTGGAGGGAGGTAGATAATAGCCACCAGGCTCTGGACTGGGTGAAAGCCAAAGGAGTTGTTGAGTGATGGTAGTAAAGAGAGAGTCTGAAAGTGGCAACAGGAAGAAAGAAATATCCCAACTCCCTCAACAGGATCAATGAGGGCAGGGAAAGGAGGAAAAAAGAATAAAAGGAGGTACATTCAGTACTGGAAAGGATGGCCATCAAAGTGTGGCATCAAAGAAGGTGCTACATTCTATGAGCAAAGCCAAATTGCAGTAGCTCAAAAGAAATGTGAGATGCTCAAATTTAGAGATATCTCCTTTTCAAATGTTTGTATGGAGTATTTGTGCCCAACATCTGGTAGAACCTTCTGAACTTGCATTGGTCTGATCAGCCATATCTAGTCATACTGTACTTTGACCCCGATATTGTGATGTCATTTTGATCTCCTTTGAACATGAAAGACAGCAAACAAACCAGGGGACCCAGGTCTCAGGGAGGGCTAAAAGATGAAGCATTTCTAAATAAATCCCTCCTGATTCCATTCAAATATATTACCTCTCATCCTGTTTGTCAAAATATTCACTCACTCATATGATGTCTTCATGTCCTTTGAAGGCAGTTTACTAAAACCATTCCATCTTTCCTTTATCTTGCTTAATAAAATTCACTTCCCTTTTTTTTCCCCTCAGTCCCTAGAAAAGATCATGTCATTTTAAGTGCCCATTGACATCCTGCTTAAAGATTAAGGCCAAAACTCTGAGTCAGATTACCATGGTGAAGAATTTTGAGCCACGTATTTATTAAAGCTGGAGTAGGTGGCATCTGAAAGGGCTAGCCAGGGTGGTTATTGAATGCCTAGAACCATTTAGAGATTGTTTCATTGATCTCCCATCACAGATCAGCCTCCCACGCTCACCAGACTCATCACCCACGTCTTATAGGAGGCTTTGCTAACTCCCCCAACTGCATGTGCCTCTCTGAAATCCAAATTATCTTGAATTTACTTTGTATAGATTTTAATTTGTTACTTATAAGTGTACATATTATTGCTCCTGATAGAATATTAGCTCCTTGAAAATGGGAACATTTTTAGCCCCCCAGGAGAAACCAAGTTGTTTGGCAAATAATAGATATTTCATAACTGCTTTTTGGTTGATTGATTTAAAAAAAAACTAGCTATTTTAAATGTCCCTTGAGATCTATCTTCTTATACAAGTTTCCATGACAAGAGGGAAGAGATGCATCATAATATAATCATAGAAAGTCAGAAGTGAAAGGAAATGTATAATGTAGAATGTTGGTGATTAAAAAAAAAACTTGAGAACATAAATTTTATATTCTAAATGTCGGGGTGTAAGGGAACTAAGAACATAACAATGCCAGACCTGGAAGTGCCCCTAGAACATAAAAGATAAAGTGCTGGAGTTAGAATATGTCTTAGAACTCAATGTCAGACAAAGGACATCCTAACTCAATCCCTTCATTTTACACACAAAGACCCTGAAGTCTAACAAAAGGAAATGCTTTGACCAAGATTGCATAGCTTGTTAAGGGAAGAACTGGAATAATTATTGAATTTCTAATTGAATTATGTTAACTTTTGTTCTTTTTTTAATAAATTCAATATGTACCTATGACACCAAAATATATGTTGAACGTCAGTGGCAAATTTGAATAAGTAAACTCATTGCAAAAGTTCCTTCACAGCTCTAAAATTATACACTAGGTTGTAGAGTCTAAGTCCTTTTCAGATCTGACATTCCGTGTCTCGTGTTCTCTTCTTCCTATAACATTTATGTTCTATGTCCCAAATCAGTTATGACATTCTGTTTTCCACATTTTACACTCCAAATATTTTATGTTTTATGTTCTAGGGCCCCTTCTAGCTCCAACATCCCATAGTTCTATTATTTAAAAAGAAATCTTTTCAGAGATAATGATCTCAGAGGGATAAAACTTTTTTTTCAGATAGATTCCTTGAGTTTTTCAAAGTCCCAATGGAAAGAAAAAGAATATCACACACAGTAATATCCAGCCAGTTATGTAAAATGAGCAGCAAACCCATAGAGGGAACAAACTATTGGTTCCTTTTCCCCTCTGCTCTTCTCTTGAGCATAAACGGAAACTAAGTAGAGACCGTCAAAATCTGGAGCCCAGTTCTTGAAGCGGTATAAAAAAAAAAAACTTACCTTTCCCACAATACAAGAAATCATGGTGCCAGGGATATTTCAATGGCCTCAGGACAGTGTGAGTAAATCATCAGGCCCTGCAATGAAGAAAGGAATCACTTAATTAAAGACCCAATTATACTGACCCTGGTTAAAGAAACCTTTTAGTTCTTATCTGTGCCAAGGCACCATTTGAGACAAGAGGAAGCAAAAAACAGCTCATTATTCCTTGGGGAGTGTAGAGGCAAAGAAAGAAATTTTCTAGCCTACAAAAGCCCTTTGAGATGGAACAGCATGAAAGACAATTCTGCATTTTCACTAATTAACCTTTTGTGGTTAACCTTTTGTGGTAGGTTTTCATTTTATCATTTTACCATCCACATATATTGGGCCTATGGTGGGGGGTGGGGGGAGTAGAGAATACAAGCATCCTTATTACTATGTTACATATAGAGGGTGGAAGTGATAAGTTTAAAAATTAATATTATTTAATAAAATTATTGTTATTGCATGAGAGGCTTCTTTGTTATATGAAGGGCCCAAGTACAATTTAGAGACCTCTCTCTTCTTTAGCTCTTTCTCCCTCCCCAGGTGAAATTTAGGAACATTAGTATATGTCACAACCCATGAGCTGTCATCATCATCTCCTTGAAAGCACTGAGGTTCACAAGAGTAAAAAACATATATCTTTTTTCATTTAAAAATTAAAGAATTCACATCCAAATCCAGAGACAATCAAGATATCTTTCCTTCTTATTAGGTAATATTCTTCCCAGAGATTCACACAGTCTCTATTACTTTAAATACTGTCCTGGTTGGGGCTTTAGAAAAAGAAAGAAGCCCAAGTTTGCTATTCACTATCCTGTGGTTCCTCTTAGCTTACATGAGGTAGTGGTCACTACTTGTAGGTCCCACTTATTATCCTCCAGTGCTCCATTCCCAATACACTATATAGGTATCCAGGAGCTCGGCTCCTGGGACCATTGTTCCAACATCTATAGCTCAAACCCTCTGGTGATGTCTACAATTTTACTGCTTTCTAGTGGATGACAATTATAAACTTCCCCAGAGGCACATTCCTCCCCAGACCAAGAAGAACAGGTTAGAAATGTCTTAAGTCACTCCCTTCTATTTACAGATAAGGACTCTGAGGTCTAGCAAAAGGAAATGCTTTCATCAAGATCACATAACTCATTAAGGGAAGAACTGGAAAAATTCTTAAATTTCTCATTGAATTATATTAACTTTAAATTTGTTTTGGAAAAATCTCAATGTGTCTCTATGATGCCAAAATACATGATGCTTTTCAGCAGCAAATTTGAATAAGTGAGCCCTTGAATCATATGGAATGAACGCTCTGGAGTCCTTATATCATCCTACTTTCTTTCAGCTTGAAAGCACACCTTCATACCAACCTTAGGATCAGAGAGCCTGAAATTCTTTGAAAATCTATTGTGCACTGGCATCTTACAGCACCTGTCCTTCCATGCCAACAAATTCTAAGTGCTATAGTCAAATTTTCTTCTTATGCTATTCAAATCAGTCACTATCCTGAACCTCATACATGGTTACAATGAATAAATAATGTTCCTATTCACTCATCTCATACCTACATATCATGTCTTGTACTTACATCAGAATCTTAAAATTTAAATAATTCAACATTTTAAAAGTATGAGTATCTTGCTTTTCCCCCAAGGCTTCCCCACCAAAGTGATATTTCTAAAGCATAGGTCTAACCACAGGTCTCCCTTACTCAATATGTCTCTTTAAGACCAGACAAAGACTCCTTTTCTTTCTTTTTTTTGTTGCAAGGCCATTTTTAAAAATAGTTATTTTTCCCAATTACATATCAAGACAACTTGTAGCATTCATTTTTACAAGATTTTAAGTTCCAAATTTTTCTCCCTCCCTCCCTCCTTCCCTGTGCCTCCCTTCTTCCCAAAATGGTAGGCAGCTTGATATAGGTTACACATATGCTATCATGTAAACCATATTTCCATATTAGTCACAGTTGTTAAAGAAGAAACAGATCAAAAGAAAAAAAAATAAAGCACGTGAAAAAAGTATGCTTTAATTTGCATTCAGAGCTCATGAGTTCTTTATCTGGATCTGGATAGCATTTTCCTTCATGAATCCTTTATACTTATCTTGAATCATTGTGTTGCTGAGAAGAGCTGAGTCATTCATAGTTGATTATCACATGATGTCACTGATATTGTTTACAATATATTCCTGGTTCTGCTTATTTCGCTTTTCATCAGTATGTATAAGTCTTTCCAGGTTTTTCTGAATTCTTCCTGCTTATCATTTCTTATAGCATGATAGTGTTCCATTACATTCATATACCACAGATTATTCAGCCATTCTCTAATTGACGAGCATCCCTTCAATTTCTAATACTTTGCCACCATGAAAAGGGCTGCTATAAATATTTTTGCACATGTAGGTCCTTTTCCCTTTTCATGAACTTTTTGGATACAGACCTAGTAGTGGTATTGCTGGATCAAAGAGTATGCACAGTTTGATTGCCCTTTAGGCATAGATCTAAATTGCTCCCCAGAATGGTTGGAATAGTTTACAACTCTACCAATGCATTAATGTTCCAATTTTCCCACATCTTCTCCAACATTTATCATTTTCCGTTTTTGTCATATTAGCCAATCTGATAGGTGTGAGGTGGTACCTCAGAGTTGTTTTAATTTGCATTTCTCTCATCGAGATTTCTTCATCTGAAAACTACTTGTTCATATCCTTTGACTAGGTATAAATTGGGGAATGGCTTCTAGTCTTATAAATTTGACTCAGTTCTTCATATATTTGAGAAATGAGGTCTTTATCAGAGACACCTGCTGTAAAGATTGTTTCCCAGCTTTCTGCTTTCCTTCTACTCTTGGTTGCATTAGTTTTGTTTGTACAAAAGCTTTTTTATTTTAATATAATGAAAATTATCTATTTTACATTTTGTAATGTTCTCTATCTCTTTTTTGGTTATGAATTCTTCCTTTGCCTATAGAATCTGAAAGGTAGACTACTCCTTGCTCTTCTATTTTGCTTATGGTACCACCCTTTATGTCTAAGTCATGCACCCATTTTTTTGCTTTTCAGTGAGGCAATTGGGGTTCAGTGACTTGCCCAGGGTGACACAGCTAATAAGTGTCAAATGTCTGAGGTCAGATTTGAGCTCAGGTCCTCCTGACTCCAAGGCGAGAGCTCTATCCATTGTGCCACCTAACTGTCCCCATCACGCACCCATTTTGACCTTATCTTGATATACAGTGTGAGATGCTGGTGTATACCTAGTTTGTGTCCTATCATTTTCTAGTTTTCCCAGTAGTTTTTGTCAAAGAGTGAGTTCTCATTCCAAAGGCAGGGGTTTGGGGGTTTATCAAAACTAGGTTACTATGGTCATTGACTACTATGTCTTGTGTCTCTAATCTATTCCACTGATCCACCACTCTATTTCTTAGCCAATATCAGATAATTTTGATGATTACTGCTTTATAATATAGTTTGAGATCTAGTATTCTTAGGCCACTTTCCTTTGTATTTTTTTTTCATTAGTTCCCTTGATATTCTGGACCTGTTGTTCTTCCAGATAAATTTTGTTGTTGTTGTTTTTTAATAGCTCTATAAAATAATTTTTGGTAGTTTGATTGGTATGGCACTGTACTGAGTAAATTAATTTAGGCAGAATTGTCATTTTTATTGTATTTGCTCAGCCTACCCATAAGCAATTGCTATTTTTCCAATTATTTAGATCTGATTTTATTTGTGTAAAAAGGGTTTTGTAATTTTGTTCATATAGTTCCTAGGCTTGTCTTGGCAGGTAGACTCCTAAGTATTTTATATTGTTTGCAATTATTTTAAGTGAAATTTTCTTTTTACCTTTTGCTGCTGGGCTACATTAGTAGTATAAAGAAGTGCTGATGACTTATGTGAATTTATCTTATATCCTGCAACTTTGTTAATTATTTCAAGCATTTTTTAGTTGATTCTTTAGGATCCTCTAAGTATACCATCATATCATCTGCAAAGAGTGATGGGTTTCTTTCCTCATTGCCTTCTAATTTCTTCAATTTCTTTCTCTTTTCTTATTGCTAAAGCTAACATTTCTAGTACTATATTAAATAGTAGTGGTGATAATGGGCATCTTTGCTTCACCCCTGATCTTATTGGGAAGGATTCTAGCTCATCCTCATTACAGAAAATGTTTATTGATGGTTTTACATAGATGGTACTTATCATTTTAAGGAATGTTCCCATTATACCTATGCTCTCTAGTGTTTTTAATAGGAATGGGTGCTGTATTTCATCAAAAGCCTTTTCAACATCTATTGAGTTAATCACATGATTTCTGTTGGTTTTATTATAGATATGGTCAGTTATGTTGATAGTTTTCCTAACATTGAACCAACCCTAAATTTCTAGAATAAATCCCACCTGATCATAGTGCATAATCGCTGTGATATATCGCTGTAATCACCTTGCTAGTATTTTATTCAAAATTTTTGCCTCAATATTCATTAGGGAAATGGGTCTATAATTTTCTTTCTGTTTTAGCTCTTCCTAGTTTAGGTACCTGCACCATATTTGTGTCATAAAAGACGTTTGGTAACACTCCTTTGCCTGTTTGATCTTTTTCTAGCTTTTTAAGTTGCATGTTCAATTCATCAATCTGTTCTTTTACTACTTTGTTGATGTATGAATTTAGAGAAATAAATTTTCCCCTAAGTACTCCTTTGGCTGCATCCCATAAATTTTGGTTGTCTCATTGTTGTCATTCTCTTTAATGAAATTATTGATTGTTTCTATGATTTGTTCTTTGACCCACTTATTCTTTACGATTAGATTATTTAACTTCAATTAATTTTAATCTATCTTTTCACTGCCCTTTGTTTAATGTAATTTTATTGCACTATTATCTGAAAAGAATACATTTAATATTTCTGACTTTCTACATGTGATTTTGAGGGTTTTATGCCTTAATACATGGTCAATTTTTGTGTAGGTGCCATGTGATGCTGAGGAAAAAAAATATATTCCTTTCTGTTCCCATTCATTTTTTTCCAAAAGTCTATCATATCTAACTTTTATA